TGACCACACACCTCCATCTTGGGTTGGGGTTAAGTATACGCGGGGCTACACCTCTTCATGCCGTTATGGTTAATTAAGCACAGAAACAACTTTATCTTTTACTTCAATATTTATTGTTATTTAACCCATTATATTATTATTACTATGTATTATTATTCTTGTTTCTATTGTCGTCGTCTTCACTGTTGTTGTTGTTGTTGTTGTTTTTGTTGTTTTTGTTTGTTGTTGTTGTTGCTGCTGCTGCTGAAGTGTCTAAACCAGAGACAAAATCTCACATCACGATTCACAACTAAGTGTTCCTAATGTTCTCTCTCTCACCCCCCCCCCCTTGGCACTACAGCCCCAGTGGGCCTAGGCCTACCTCCATGAACTTCCTTCACTTCGGTTTTTCTAGGTCTTACACATTCAGTAGGACTCCTTGGGCGGGTGATCAGCTCGTCGCAAGGCACAAACACAGAAAAACGCACACACACAAACTAAACATCCATGCTCTGAGTGGGATTCGAACCCACGATCCCGGTTTCCAACCGAGCGAAGACAGTACATGGCTTAGACCCCTCGGCTACCGTGACCGGCTCTTAATGTTCTCATCTAAGTATATGAAACGTCCAGAAGAATTGGTTCATCCTACAGAAGCAACGTTATAAATTATGTCTAAGTTTCAGTCGGATGTATATTTTCGGTTTCTTAAATACTAAGAAGTGCCGATACACAATACCGAAATTGAATTCATGTATCGAACAAATGTCAGTTCTAACTGCCGAACAAGGCGCTGAAAAATTGCACTGAAATTGTATTATGCAGACCTACAGGTAAAGCGTGCCGGTCACGGTAGCCGAGCGGTCTAAGGAATGCACTGTCTTCGCTCGGAAGCCGGGATCGTGGGTTCGAATCCCACTCAGGGCATGGATGTTTGTGTGCGTTTTTCTGTGTTTGTGTATAGGCCCACTGGGGCTGTAGTGCCAAGAAAAAAAAAAGAAAAAACAGGTAAAGCTGTCCCTGTGCTTAATTAAACATGATGCCATAAGGATATGCGAGGGAGTGAAGGTACAGCTCCATGACTGCTTAACTAGGCACCCGATGCACCTGAGTACGCAACTTCAAGCTCCAGCTGCTCAGTTCCAGGGAAAGAACCCCCTGTACCCACTGGATAAGAGCCTGGATGGGCTCCAAAGCCATTCTGGTTCCTGCCCCTGCAAATAATCGAGCCCCGGTCACCAAGGCCGTAGTCGGGTCACTGTAAGCTATTGGCTGGGCTAAAGACAAAACACAGATCAATTTGCCGAGCTCAGAAACATTTCTATGGTTCACATTTGCCTCCCTTCTTGGCTTTACCGTGATTCAGCGTTCCTTGAATATTCGTCAGTTAACATCAGGATGTGAATTTTCAATTGGTTCCTGTATACATTAAACAGCCCTTTGCTTTCTTTGTGGCACTGAAGGAAATTTTTAAAACAAATTTCTGTTTATGAATAAGAGAGGTCAGCAACTGTTTTCAAAGGCTAACTTATCAAAATGGCATCTGAAACGACTAGGCCTACTGGTTACAGACGTCCTTCATAAATATGCGTGTAGGCCTACTTATTTATGCATTCAAAGAACACTGGAACAGGCAGATCTTCCCTGTGAATATACCCGTGATGTTATTTCGAGCTAACTGTTCTGTTTCGTGCACACTGACAATTCCGCTAGTCTTTTCTTCCTTTAACGTGCACACACGCTCAGCAAGGAAAATAAACGTTTTCTAACACAGAAAATATTGTGTTTTCTGTAACGCTAATGTAGATATTCACAGTGATGATACTGAACAGTAACGATTATGAACGGTGAATCTAGTGGGTATTGTAGTCCGCCTCTGTGGTCTAGTGGTCAACATTCCTGGCTACAGATCCAAAGGTCCGGGTTCGATTCCCGGCGCTAGCAGATATTTTCTGAGAAGTAGTGTCTGGAACGGGGTCCACTCAACCTCGTGATGATAATTGAGGAGCTATTTCAAGGAGTTAGCGGCTCCGGTCTAGAAAACCGAAATTGACGCCGTGGAGGATTCATTGCGCTGACCACGCGACACCCTCTATTCGCAAAAGTTGGCACTAAACTTCGCCGACAAGCAGCGGTCGCTCGGTCGGAACAGTTCGCTTGCGGACTAAAATCACGGGGAGTCTTTAATTACCAGGAGATTGTTTGACCTACTTTCAGGATATATTCCAGGTAGTTTTCATATGTAAAATATAGTTGAACTTTCAGAACTTTCCTTTTGATGTCCACATATACTTACTAATAATTCATGGTCTTAATACTTCATTCTGCCGGTCACGATAGCCGAGCAGTCTAAGGCATGCACTGTCTTCGCTCGCTTGGAAACCGGGATCGTGGGTTCGAATCCCACTCAGGGCATGAATGTTTAGTTTGTGTGTGTGTGCGTTTTTCTGTGTTTGTGTACAGGTAGAGGCCTTGCGACGAGCTGATCGCCCGCCCAATGAGTCCTACCGAATGTGTAAGATCTAGAAAAATTGAAGTGAACGGAGAAGTTCATGGAGGTAGGCCTAGGCCCACTGGGGCTGTAGTTCCAAGGAAAAAAAAATACTTCCTTCTAAATAAATCTGTAATTGTAATGAAGTGTAAAAAAAAACTCTGCCATGAAACTAATGTGATATCTCGGAGGAAAGAATACTGTCATGTGTCAGTGATTAGACAACGGGTTTGGATTAGCAACTGGATTTACTAACTGTCAATCGTAACTACAAGTAATTATAGCGCTCTCGTTAATTCACGCACTCTGCTTCTCACTATGGCAGACACTACGCTTTCTATGTCTTCACTAGCCGTTGCCTGGTAACAGATCCCAACAATGTCCTCTTCTGTTCACGTAGTTACCGGCTGAAGACTGTCTCGCAACTAACTCAACTGCCGACTCTCAAGACATGACTTTCCACTGCAACTGTCCTGTAGGTCACTCATTGTCGCAACTCTATTCTCCGCTGCAAATGGCAAACTCTGGTCCGTTGGTTGGTTAAACCGCTGCTCGAAGTCGAAGTTACTATACGACTGGCGGTTTACCGCCAATCATTTCGTCTTGACGTCAAGCCCCTTGAGACTGAAGACCAGGGAGCTTTGTTTTTCTTTTAACTGAGCCCTTGCGGTAATAGTCCTTATGCAGCATCCTCTCTGACGAGAAGATGGGGTTGCCTCTCATGAATACGCTTCGCCTTTCGTCACGTGTCTATTTCGCACATATAGCGTGTTTCTGAAAATTCTTCCTTTTGCACTATATACAGGTCCTCCGTCAGTACAGGCTTTGCAAAGCAGATCATGTCTATCTTACGTATCTTATTCTACAACAGCAGCTTCCTTTTTTTTTCCTGTGGCTCTACAGCCCCAATTTGGGCCTAGGCTTACCTCCATGAAACTCTCTGTTTCACTTCGGTTTACTAGATCTTATACATTCGGTAGGACTCCTTGGGCGAGTGATCAGCTCGTCTCAAGGCCTCTACCTGTAGACAAACAAAGAAAAACGCACACAAACATCCATGCCCTGAGTGGGATTCGAACCCACGATCCCGGCTTCCGAGCGAGCGAAGACAGTGCACGCCTTAGACCGCTCGGCTACCGTGACCGGCTTAGATGCTTGAAAGGTCGTAAGCCTGAACACCGCCAAGTTTAAGCCTCTTTTATTTTATATATTTCTACCAATAGCCCCAGCATTTGTAACGGCCGTTGCTTAGCAATGGGCTGATCACTGTGATGTGTTTACCCAGCTATTACCACACAACGGACAATGAGTAAGTACGAGTATTTATGCCACAATATGTTTTAAAAATTATGTATCTTCAATTGAATCGATGGTTCAGTTTTAAAACATAATGGCCACATTTTCCCTTCACAATCGCGTCTACAGTACACCTTATGATACCATCAATTCTACACAATTTACAGAAAGTATGAAATCACAGTGAAATTTCTGGAGTATGTGACGAACACCTTGATCATGGGCCAATGAAATAGAAGACTTCTGATTACTTGTTGGTTTATGTACATACACACTTCACAGAAAGCTGTTAATTTGACCTTAAAACATACCGACTCCAAGGTGAAATTACAGATACTACTATTCACGATGTTATGTCCTTCTTCACCCCCCCCCCATCTTTCTGTAAGCAGTGCTGTCAAACTTTCGCAGGTACATGCTGCCTCCACCTCCACTCCACCACTGAGCATACCATGGACATGTGCCCAGCGTTACCAAATGCTTCAAACGAGCATCTTCCAACCATCTTCCAGTGCCGATCGACCCACAGAAGAGGTTTAAGCAATAATATGCTTGGCGAGCATTTGGACGGATGTCAACCAAGGAAAACCAGTTCCCACTGGATTTTTGGTGAACCCTGTGGTCCTGAAAACGGGTTTTTGACAAATATTCTGTAATAGACTTCAAAGGATTCTGACGATGGTGTACGCTGTACAGAACTATTAGGCTTATTTTGGACTCTATCCATCGTCTGGTATACAGAAGATAAAAAAAACACAACGTTTCAGAGACAGATCCAGTCTCCGAAACGTTGTGGTTTTTTTTTTCTTCTGTATACCAGACGATGGATGGAGTCCAAAATAAGCCCAATAGTTCTGTACAAATATTCTCTACCCAATGCCCTTATTGGCCCAGACTGGGCATCAGCTCTCACATAACATAACTGTTCTATTTTTTTGTTATTTAACAACGCCTTTTCAGTATCGAGACCATACAGCGTCCGACGGTAGGACGATAAACTATAAAGGGTTTAGACGCCAACGGCCATGGCCTAACAGACGTACTATCCCGATATTTGTTTGGAGAGACTAAATAAAACAAAGAGGAACCTCAGAATGTCAGGCGTCCCGGTAGAGATTCGAAACGAAGACCTCCAGAACAGAAGTCCACAGCGCTACTTCGAGACCAACCTGTTCGCACGTGTCTGTTCATACATTATATCTCAACAAGAGTGCAACTTTTGTAAGGTTCTTACCTTGGACAGATAAGAATTGATCCAGTTCACGAATGTCTTCTTCTGCACTCTCTCTTGTTCGTCTGTAAACATAAAAAGAAATTATACATAAGTTTTCGTTCCCAAGTCCTTCAGTATCTTTAGAAAATATACACTATTCGAATAAAAATGCTTCATTATTGTGTGTTCTTCGCACAAAGCTCATAAAATTGAAATTCAATGTTTTTACGAAATGTCCACAACCACTCACTTCTCCTATTTTCCTCACAAGTATCAGTATATTCCAACAGAACATTAAAAATCAGTTACTATTAGCTGAGGCACTGTGATGGCTCGGGGTGGATATGAAGTATTATGAGGATGAAGTGACAGACACTGAACTTAAAACTGACACTACAGTATCAACAGCTGACATTCGTAGAATTTTACTGACAATATCTGAAATTAAATTACTGCAATATAAGTTATGTGTAATGTAGCCCATGTTGGTTTATACAACGAAGTTTTATAAAAAAATTACTTACTTACCTATTTACTTACTTACTTACTTACTCACTCACTCATGGAGCTGAGCCCTTCTTGAGGAGCCGCCAATTCTGCAGCTACTCAAGAATTTCCCAGCATTTTATGGAACCCGAAGGTTCATCACCGTGTTCACAAGAGCCCTCCACTGGTCCCCATCCTGAGCCAGATCAACCCATCCTGTCTCTCTAAGATACATTCTAATATTGTCCATCCACCTACGCCTTGGTCTTCCCTGTGGTCTCTTTCCTTCTGGCTTTCCCACCAATATCCTACACGCATTCCTCGTCTCCCCCATTCAACAATACATATTATTATCCACCGAATGACTCAAGAGACAATACTGCATGTACAAAAGCGTGGAAATTCTAGAGCAAGAGATTTGTACTCGTATAAGAGTGGTATTGCAAGGTAGCCTACTTACCCCGTGGGCAATCTGAAAGAACGGAAGAAAATTAATGCAGAAGAAGCTATACTTCAGCCGAGATTCAAACATAAGGGGGCGGTGGAGGTATAGCTCCAGCATTCTTGACCTCAACACAGGATGTAGGTAAACTGTCAACTTCGCGGCCCTGTCTAGTTACACCCGGTAACCAATGAATACGAGGCTATGTAGACACTAGACCTGGTATGGACATAATAGAGAAAATAAAAAATCTTGCTCTTCCCAGGAATCGAACCTCAAACCCTCGGTTGCCTAGACCGCAGTTTAGTTGCTATACCGAATAAGCTATTCCGGCTGCCAGTAGGAATGAGACTTAATTAAACACTCCCGGAAATTGAACCCCGATCCCTCGGTCTAGAACGTAACCTACTCGCTATACCAACTGAACCATTCCGGCTCCCAGTAAGATTTGATTAAACATTGATGAGTTATTGCGAAGATGCTACTGAAGAGTAGAGCCAAAAATATAAAACAACTAAGCCGAAATCTAGAGGACTAAATACACGCTGACATTTCTGTGATGGATTTATTTTCTCAAAACTTATGTACTTCTCCACGTAAAGAATGAAGTCAGTGGCTGAAACGCAACGTCACCCCGTGTCAGGGCACGTACGCGCACTCCTGCACCTCGATGTTCCTCTCCCTTACAGCAAGACAGGAGCAAGCTGCAGGAAGCACTTGTCAACACGACCAACCAGATCCGGCTTAATATCAACGGATTTAGCTCTTCATACCTTTCAATGTCCTTTTGATAGACGCTCGTGACTAGGAAACGAAATTGAAAGAAATGTTGGAAATTGTGGAAGATAGAAAATGGGATGATGATTTTATCTGAAGCTTATTTTCAGCAGAACATTACTAAATTCAAGAAAATTAAATACATTCAAATTCGAGTTACACATTTAAACGCATTTCACACTTCAGTCTTCACAATCTTGACGCTTATTCTGCGAGTTACCGGAATGAACGATTGAACGGGACACCTATTAAGTTTCGAGTTACTCCACAACGTCGGTGCAGAGTCGAATAATACTGTCAAGTGTTTATGGTTCCGTTACCAGTAATAACGGGTTTTAGACTGGATGATCGATTTATTGGCATCTCCTTTTACAATCTTCCTTAATCACAATCAATTACAACAGCTCACACCAAATGACTCTCTACAACTCGATCCATTCTGACACTACGGCTCTCTTCTCTTCTATTCCTACTGTGACTGACTTGGTCCAGAGTTACTTAACGGCTGAAGCGGCCTCCGTAGTCTAGGGGTAACGTTCCCACCTCATGACTCAAGGTACGCGGGTTCAAACCCGGCGGAGATCGTGGAATTTTTAAGGGCGGAAAAATTCAGGGAACAAGTTCTCCGGGACGTAAAAGATCCTCATGTCTCTAGGAGACCTCTGAGCAAAATTAATTAGGTAACAATTTCCCGGTCAAGTAGTTTCCAACGCCTCTGGTAGATGGGGGAAATATCAGGTACCGGCGGCCGACCTCGTTGGCTGAACGGGGCTGATAGCACGCACCAGTACCGGTATGGTATGGGGACAGTAGAAATTAAAGTGTGACGCACAATGGACCAATAACTGGTCTAGGTGCATGGGGAAACCCACCCCCTCTAATAATAATAATAATAATAATTATGACTACTTAACGGCTGCCTTCTGATTTAAGAATGAATTACGAATGACTTCGTTCTTATTTAAACGGCCGCTTATACAGTGTAACGGTATCTTTGAAAACGTTTGTTGCTTGCTCGTATCCATGGACACGCCTGTTGATTCCACAGCAACGAGCTGGTTTCCAAAAGTCTACAACTTCCATTTTGTAACCGTTCATTACCTACCTACCAAGTACCTTGGTCTAGAATTAGACAAAGGACTGACATGGAAAAAGCAGCTGGACAAGGTCATTAACAAAGCCCATAAGGCTTTTTGGACATGCAGAAGCATGTTTGGTAAAACTTGGGGGTGCATTGGATATACACTGCGGTTGTAAGACCCATAATTACATATGGCGCCACAGTATGGTGACCCAGAGTTAAACTCAAGACAAGCAAGGCAGAACTTAGCAAATTGCAAAGGTTGACTTGCTTGGGAATCACAGGAGCAATTCGAACATCTCCAACAGCTGCACTGGAGATACTCCTTGGACTCCCCCCACTGCATCTAGAGTTGGAGGCAGTGGCCAGGGCAGGAATCTACCGTCTCCAGTGCAGTGATCAATGGAAACCTTGATCTGATGGTTTCGGCCATGCAGACATGACTCAGGACATAAAAAAGAACCCATATTACAAATGGGGTCTGACAAAATGATACTGAGACATGTATATGAAAAACCCTTCACAGTCAGTATGAAAAACCCTTCACAGTCAGATTTCCTGACAGGAGTGATGGGAAGACGGGTTTCGGCCCGATAGAAAAGGGGGACTGATCCGGTATACTGATGGTTCCAAGATCTGGGACTAAGTGATAGTCCCATTTGTGAGAGGTGTCAAGAATAAAATGAAACAGCCACACACACATCCTGTGTGAATGTGAGGCCTTAGCTTATTTAAGATTACGTCACTTGGATCAATACTTTATGGAAGCAAGTGACTATTTCGACGACCCCACGTACAAAATCCTGCGCTTGATTGGAAGCGCGGGATTGTTGAGGGAATAATCAAAAGGGGAAGCACAACAGACCACTGTAGGTCGTGGTGCAAGGGCCGAGGAGGCCCACCCCTCATATATTCATTCATTTAAATGTTCATTTTCATAACGATGCCACAAGGAATAAGTGAAAATACCGCACAATAAATCCGTTGAAATTTTAAAGGAAAATTATAAAAAAAATCAAACAATATCTAACCTCCATAAGTGGAAAAGTTCCAAAAAGGCTGCAACATTTATACTAACGTACTAAACTTGATGGCATAACAATATATGCTGAGTGGCGCTGCAATCTAGAGCAACTACTTTCGACAAATATAAAGACGAACTTCGTCAACTAATCTTTATTCTTATTCAGGCATCACTGTACTAGCTCCTTCACCAGTACCAAAGTTCTCTGAATCACAGCTTTACCACCTACTACAGTAGATGGCTGGGTGTTCTAACCCTCAGATATAACAAATGTTGACATACACTTCATAAATTTCACTGATACCTATTATTTAGACATTGTACCACGCACTAAATGTCTCACCGTGTTCGAAATAATCAATTCACTTCTGCAGCGAAAGTTTTCAAAGATTACCCTCATCTGGTCCAGTCTCGGGCACAGTAAATCTTGATTTCGTTGTATATCGACGCTATCAAAAATCGATACTCCAATGGCGACTGAAACATGTGTACCTGACGGTCCTATCCGTAACTACTAACAACAAAGGACTTCCACACAAGCGCAGAATAAAACAGATCTGTAAGTCTTAAGCTCTTGTACAATGCGTTCAACGGTCGAGGAAACCTGGCAACAGGGCTGAGCGGGAAGAACATTCCTCACAGAGTGCTGCTGTAACTACCGATAGCAGAATGAGTCATTAGCGCTGATAAACGCGCGCCGTCAGGTGGTCTGATTTGTCACTGCAGTTAAGTCCCATTAATAGTCAGTCTGTGTTAGAGGTGTCGATAGGCTGTCGATGTTTATACTGAAATGAAGTTCACTGTTGAACAGCGTGTTTATTGTCGAAACCTTTCCAAGGAAAAAACATATAGAATATGTATCCGTAAGTTTCGTCGTAAATATCCTTACTCACCAGTTCCCACAAAGTCGTGTGTATCCGTAACTTTAATTTTTCTTGGAATTATTATTAATTTATTGCCATTATATAGACTGTCATACTTTGTATTTTGTTTTTAATTGTTTTTGTATATTTGTACCTACTCGTGCTAACTTTGTAATTGGCATCATTTACTTATTTTTATTTTCCTCGCCTGTCAGTGCTAACTTCTTTAAATTGTTATTAATTTAATGTCCTTATATAGACTGTCGTATTTTGTTCTTTATTTATTTTTGTGTATTTCTATGTACTCGTCCTAACTATGTAATTGGCTTCTATGCTATTAAAGTTTGCACATAAACAAACACGAATTGATTTATTGTTGTTATTACTACTACTACTACTACTACTACTAC